GGAAGCTGCGTCTGGCGGTGATTTGAGCTGCGTTTGGCAACGATTTGAGCTGTGTCTGGCGGCGATTTGAGCTGCGTCAGTCAGCAATTTGAGCTGCGTCTGGCAGCGATTTGAGCTGCATCTGGCAGCGATTTGAGCTGCGTCTGGCAGCGATTTGAGCTGCGTTTGAGCTGCGTTCGTGGCTATGAACGCGGTGCGTCTTGATGCTAGTGTGCGGGGAGGACTTCCACAGTTTGATTTGAAGAGACCGTCGATTTGTAGTCTCTTTCTGTCGAAGCGTTGCAAAGATCGTCATTTTGTAATCTTTGTTTTAGCTCTTTGATATGCAAGAGTCGTCAGATTGTAACTCTCGATGTTGATGGTGAAGGCTGTTAAACTAGAGCTCTCATCGGTTGTCGTGAAGGTCGTCAGATTGTAACCTTCAGCGATCTACGTGAAAGTCTTCAAATTGTAGCCTTCTGGAAGTCGTCAGATTGTAACTTCCATCATCGGTGTTTGATGGGGATCAGCTATCTATTGTGAATTTTAGACAGCCTACAGAACCCCCTCCAAAGTTTTCGAAAGTTCGCGGTTGACTGGGACGAATTTTCGGAATACTTTGGATCTCAACTCTGATATAGTGGCAGGTGGAGAGCTGACGACTTTTGTTGATTCGACTAGACTGCGGTATTTGGGGCTTGGCCATTCTAGTATTGATTCCTCGCATAGATTGAAAGAGGGTGCGAAGACCTGCAGTTTGAAGTCCAGTGAACATGTTGATGTGAGCAAGAAGACCGAGGTGAAGTTTGGCACCTCTATTCACCGTTCTAAGGGTCGTTCTAGAGGAGTTCACGTGGATATTTGGGGGCCTTCCAAGGGGGCATCATTGGAAGGTAATAGGCATTTGGTTTCCTTTGTTGGTGACTGTTCTAGGCGTGTTTGGGTTGCAACCAAATCCCCTATGGATAAAGTCCTAGTAGTCTCTAACGGTTTGAAGAAGTGTGTGATAGACAGAAAGGTGAAGGTACTCCATTCTGGTGGGAGGTACAAAATGGACATGTTTCTGTATTGGATCCGAGCTCACGACATTTCGAGACACTTCGTTGGAAAGGAAATCTTGGGGCAACTAGATAGGGTGAAAAATTTGGAAGACCGTGCCTTGCTGGAGGAGGATCGGTGTTTGTTGTCAAGCAATGGTCTGCAGAAGAGTTTCTGGACTGAGGCTTCGACATATTTGGGTCATCCTATTAAAGAGTTGTCAACTACTGTGATAGGAGGTAAAACTCCATTGGAAGATAGGTCTGGTAGTGTCACTTTGGTTGAGGTTTCGATGAGAAAGCCAACTGACTCTCAGCAGGTGGAGAGTTTTAGACAGACCTTAGAGGTATCGCAGCGGGTGGAGACTGATGCTACTCCACATTGGGTGGGGATTTTCCCACATACTTCAGCTCATTCTGTATTGGTTGGGATTCCAGCTGAGGTGACACAGCGTGGAAGTCATTTGGATTCGGATGCAGATGATGAGTTGGGTTTTGACTCGAGTGCAGCTGATAGATGCAGTTTGGATATGACCATTGGTTCACCTCAGGTGGAGGTGTTTGAGGCCATTGGAGGTGCTATCAGCCGCAGAGTTGATGATATTGGAGAAGGGTTGCGAACTCTTTTATTGGATTGAGGTCGTTCGCGGCCATTTGGGTGAACTACGTTCGGCTTGATTCCTTGGGCAAGAGGATACGTAGGCAGTCTTTACGATGCAGCCGGTTTGGATTTTTGATGGGGGTGAGATCGATTTGGTGAGTAGATACCGACGTTTGGAGAGTGTTTGCACTCTCATTTGGGTTCTCGACTTGTTATGGATTGAGTCCGTTGTCGTGAATTGTTTCACTTCGTACTGGACACAACAAGTGAGACATTTGGTTTTGTTGGTTTCGGCTCAGTTTTGGGAAAACTTCGCCGAGGTGGAGAATTGTTGATTGGTGAAAGCCGTGCAGTCCACCATACCCATGTGAAAAAGGAATTTTGTTCACAGGTGCGTGGGTGGCTAAGGTGTTTGAAAATCTTGTGAAGAGATCTCCTTGTGATTGATTGCAAGTGGGGACCACAAGTATCTCAATTGTTTCTCTATGTGAAGAGATAGGAGCAGATGTTTTTTGGTTTCCTGGATGGCCCACGAATCACACCCTATAAATACTCTTCCTAGGATTTCGTGAAGGAATAGCAAGGCAGGGGACGTGATTTGGCTGCTGAGTTTTCTTCTTTGGGCGCAAGTGCGGAAGCAGAAGGGAGAAATTAAAGAGGCGGCCTGCAGAGCTATTCAAAGGCAGAGAACAAGTGCAGCAAACAGGAGAACGCAGAAGTAGGCTGTTCTTTGGCTTGTTTGGTGGCTGTTCTTGGGTGTTGACGGCTGTATTTTTGTGTGAGGCTTTTGCGAGAGATAATTGTGTGAGGGTTTAGATTGAGTGATTGTAAACCCTAGTTGTATTATCTCCCTCTAATAGTAGATCTCCCCCCTTCTTGCCCCGTGGACGTAGGCAGTTTGCCGAACCACGTAAAATTGATTTGTTTGTGTTTGTGACCATTATAATAGTTTTTAGGATCCCTCGACAAGTCAGTCCTAGAACTGATGAGAGGAAGAGCCGATATTTTGTTTTGTTGAGATATCCGCTTCAGATTCTTGTCTCCTTGGTGAGACGAGAATTCTTATTGGGATCTTTCTTTATTATTGTGTACCAGAAACTCTGTCGAAATTTCCGCTGCGCACAACAAGAGGGCTCGCTCTCGTCTCTGCCAGTTTTACCGACATTTCTGTTTGTATCAGCTGAAGTTTTGGTTTGCTCTTTTTTCCTTCTTTTGAGATTGGACTCATTTAGGCATGGACGCTCGGTTGCCAATTCAGTAGATACAATTGCAACGTTCTTCGTCTGAGCTGTATATCAAGGGGAAAAACATATACTAACCAGAAAACCTGTGTCTCTAGTTCTTCCCTCATTAGCCAGGGACTCATGCTATCTAAAATACAATCTTGTACTATTTGATACTACAAAGTTCAAACTTACATGGTATACAATTTGTACTATTCGATACTACAAAGTGCAAACTTACATGGTGTTTTATTGTGAGTTTTATCAATAGTTCATGTGAACTCAAAGAGGTTCATCTCACAATTCTATAATCTATTCCTTTATACAAATAGGAGGATCAGAGATTTACTGTTCATGCTACAGTAAATACTACAGTAGCATTATCACTGTATCTGATAAGTAATTAAAAATATTACTGTAGCACACGGGTGTACTGTAACATTTAAAAGGTACTGTAGCAGAGCGGGATACTGTAGCACTTCCAAAAATTCAAATCATGCCATATTAAAAAAAAGCGGGATTACTGTAGCAAAAAAAACGTGCTTTGCACGGACCGCAAACTAGTAGTATATATATAGGAGTAGCACTACTTTTAAGTTTCAAGGTCCCTCTACAGTAATCAAATTTTTGTGTGCTATACATATTTTGAGATGGACATTAACCATTATTGTTGCTTTCTTGGCTATTTTTTCTCTGACAACATTGGGTTTTCCCATTTTGTTTGATAAAGTGCTTCCTCTCTCTTGGTTCATCCATCCTCTTATCAACAAGAGGTTTCATTGTTTTATTTGATTTGCCAGCTTTGGAATCTGGAGAGGAGAAAAAGGTTACTATGAATTATTTATTGCAAGTCAATGCTACTAGGATTTCTTACCTGCTATTTGAAGTCTTTATTACAGGCAATGACTTGTTTAGAGTATATATGTATGTATCAAGTCAGTATAAAGATAGGAGTCGATTGTCTCTGTTTATTTGATGGCAATTTATCTTCTACTAACTTATTCCCTACAGTGTTCTTTTTCTGATTCAAAAGCATATCAGATAAATCAAAATCTCTTGTTGAGAATCCGAATGAGCCAGGATAGAGGAAGCATTTGGCTGAACATATTGGGGGCGGCGGGGTAGTCCAAAATTCGGCTAAATATGCAGGAAAAAAAAATAACATAGGAAGCAAAAGGCAGGCAACAAGCATATCGTTAGGGGGAATTTTGATTATTTGCAAATAAACTCTTGCTTACACGGATTTTGAACCAAAGTTATTATTAGTATAGTACTGAGATGACATAAATAGGGAAGTACAATTGTTAGAATAAATAGCAGAGGTACATTTATTACAATTATCTTCACCTTCTCTTCCTATGCTGTAACGCTTGCTCCTCTTATGCATAATTCAATTGCCAATGATATGTATCTTTTGCAAGAGGACTCATTTTCATCCCCGCTCACAGAAACATCAACAGACTCTTTTGAAGCAACTTTATCTATCATTTCGCTTGGAATTTTTCTTCATCCTCATACTAACAGTAATTGCAGATCCTTATCATTATTGTCAACCGAACAACTGTAAGTTCTTTAATTTTATCTGCTTTACTTTGTGCTTCAGCGAATTTGCATTGAGGACAATGCAAAATTTAGGTGTGGGGGTGAGAAATACATATTTTCCTCTTTATTTTACCTTTTTAGTTGCATTTTTCTTTCTTTTTGTTAAAAAAAAATATAAAAATATTGTCACTTGCCAAATTAATAGAGTTAAGTAATAATTGATCAAATTGATAGATTTTAAATTTTCTAATTCTTAGTTAGTGACATATTCAAGTTCACCTTTTATGATAACTCCAAATAAAGTTCTTAAGAAATGATTTTTCAACTAGTATACTTTACTTAAGTCTTACCTTAGATTTTTAATTAAAAAATAATAAAATTTTTGCATGCTTAACTTAGAGTTGAAAATATTTTTTCAAGTCATCTTGATTTACACATTTTTTTTAAAAAGACTATATATACTTACACATATATATTAAAAAAAAAACTAACCTTATAAAAGAAGAGTGCGAAAAATGGGCACAAAAAAAAAAACCTCTTATATTCAAGGTGATTCTATCTTATAAAGCCTAAGTTGACTGAGCAATTAAGCCCAAGGAGTATCTTTATACTGATGCTATAATGCTTGTCAGCAATCTGTATTTCTTGAAAGAGGACTGACTTCTTCGTCTTGCAGGAAATACAGATCACTCGCAAGCATTATAGCATCAGAGAAGGAAAAGAAGGCAAAGAGAGCTACGAAGCCGAAGAATAATTCAAACGAAATGATCGATAAATTTGCTTCAAAAGAATCTGTAAATATTTCTGTTAGAGGAGACGAAAGTGAGTACTCTTGCAAAAGACAGACCATTGGATGAGGATACTGCTAAGAAAGCAAAAAGACAGACACAAAGGCAGATCTGTAAGCCATTGTATTAGAACCTACAAATTGCAGAAAAGACCATGACCAAGATTGAAGAAATCTCCTCCGGTCTGAAAGTCAGCAGCTTGACATTCAGCCGGATAAGAATACCGCACACTAAAACTGAAAAGACCAAAGAGAAAGGCAGATTAAAACGCCCCAACATGAGAGCATAAGAATGGTGCAAAGCTTTGAAACCAAGACCAAGCTGGTACCACCCACAACCTGATCCCGAAATTTCCAGAAGGCTGAAGTTCACCATCAGTTCCAGCATTAAAGGTAAAATTTGCATGATTTGGCCCATCAATATAAAAGAAACTCCGTGTTTGTTGGGATCTGGTATTGCACAGTTCTTTTCAAATACAAGAGCAATGCTGAGACGGTATCCAAGTGGCACCACAAGTTTGAGACAGATGAGGCTCAATATGCATACACTAGAGAGCACAGAGCACCTGAAGATTTGCAGGCTTCAAAGCAGCAGCAGCAGCAGCGAAATTTGAACTTTGACCAGGTCCAGGTCTAGCAGAGACTACAGGTTAAATCGTGCCTAAAGAAGCATACGAAAATATCAGCATCAAATGGAGTGCTGCTCATGAGATGTACATCAATGAAAGAGATTGCAGTGAGTCTGGCAACAACATTTTGCGCACAATATGAAGGAATCATCTGGGTTTGGATACATCACTTACCATCTTATTTGAGAGTGTTGAATACCAGTTCAAGCTTAAGAATTTGTGATGTTGGCGTTATGGCCTTACATATATGCTTTACCTGTAAAGTAGTAATAATGAGTTGTGCTGTAAAAGTAACTTGGATTGTGGACATTAAATTCTACAATAGTTCTTTATTTCTTTGATTAAATTTCTGATATAAGCGTGAATGCAAACATGAATTTCTGATAATTTGAATATAATTTCTGATATTATAAGCGTGAATCATGCAGACATGAATTTCCCCATTTATGTTGGTGAATGCAATTAGTTGATCAATATAGGTGGAAAACTCTAATGTAATTGAGTCCTTATATAGGTAACGATTTGTTCAGAGAATTAGAGATTTCTTGTCTGGTCATGATCTATACTTCATTATGTTCTCTTTATTTAGCTGGATACTTGTAATTCACCTTTTACTCCAAAGAAAAATCAGATTGGTTATTTTGTTATAATTGAAATCTGACTCCATCTGAATCAGGAATGAGACACATGTATGTGCTCTTGCATCAATTAAAGTCTATAGGTACAGACGCAAAGGACCTATTGTGACTGAATATTTTACCCCAAACTTAATTTGGACGCACTCACCTCAGGAGTGGGTTAGATAAGATATAAATTAGAGCTCAAATAAGAGTGACAAACACAAGCCCTATGACAATGCCCACACCGCCTCTTTTGTCTTGAGAATTGCATATCCAATTCCATTGCATATCCAATTCACATGCAACCATATAAACAAACATGAACTGTAATGTTTATCTTTTCCCTGTGTGTAACGCGCATGAGAGTCAAATGCCAATTGTCACAGGTGACAATTGTCCAAATCCATTTTCGTTTTGGTCTACCCTCGTTCATTTCCCTTTACTCACTCATTCTGTTCCTCTTTAGGCTTCCTCGCTCTCTATCCTTTCTATTTCTCATCTTCTGGACCCCAACCACTATCTTGATCATGAAGGCACCAAGATTCAAGAGGCGTGATTTGGTATGGAGGAAAGTGAAGCACATCCTTCGTGGCCAACCCAAGTCTATAGTGAATCCCTGTCTGTCGAAAAAAAGTTCAAAAACGATGGTCGGAGGCTCAACATTTTATACCATTTGTGTCAAATTTTATTCAAAAATCAAAGGAGGAGATGGACCATCCAAAGTTCAAAAAGGCCGTCAAACAATCAGTCAAGTAGGACCAACAAAGGGGAAGGATGGGCAAAGTTGTAGCTGTAAAGAAAAGCATAAATTCACCATTCATTAATTGTCATAAAGATCTACAGGTGTGCAAACAGCTGAAGTTGAGAATGTTCTTTTCTTTTCTTTTTTCCTTTTTTTTATTGTTACTTTGGGAAGTTCTCCAAACCAATAATTGAGGGAGGGAGGGAAGGACGAATGGAAGGAGCACGCAATCGAAGGAGGAGATCCTCTGGTTTGTTTTAAATTTAGATATGAGTCCACAGAGAAATGTGGCACCATCGAAGGTCAGCTTGGTTGGCTATGCAGAGAGAAGACTATGAACTTCTTGATTCATCAGTGAGAGGGAAATGGTGATAAATGGCAGAGAGAATGTTTTGGTCCGAAGTCTAAAGGTTTATCAGATTTTGGTTGAAGCATTTCGTGAACTACAAAATGAAGGGTATGATCTTCCTCTTCATGAAGGTATAATTAGTATACGCATGCATGTTAATGTTGTAATTAAAGGTTAAAATACTTTACAATTATGTCGATTACACTACACGATACCAGCATTTTTAATTCTCCTTTAATAATTTATTCTCTTATTTGCAAAGCATTTTTTAGTATATATTACTGGATTTAATGTTTTGTTGGCATTTTGATACGTTTGATGTATCCAAAATAGGCAGAGCTATTAGTTGTTTAGGTTTATTCAGAATAACTGTGTTAGTTCCTTTCCTTTTCCTGGTCAACTAATTGATATTCCATGTGATTATTTTATATTTAATACAACTGTTTACCTTAGAATATGGATATTTGAAGCCTTATTTTTGTGAAAAATATTGAGTTGATTATTCACTTGAACTTAGTTTCCTTTTTAGGTATTATTTAAAGACACAGACCTTTCTCATGAGAGATGTAAAAGATAATGTTAAAACGTTAAAATATCTCTTTTGATTGCCCCCATAGATGATGATGTAATTTCTAAGGTGAGATGAATCTAGCTGGGTGGTATAAAGAGGTGCGTTGATAAAGGGTGTCATATCAAGCACTCATGATCAGATATGTTATGACTCGGGTATTTGGAATCTTGAGTTCAAGATTAGTTAAAGTGAGATGAAGATGACTATAATGAATTTGTGTAGAAATTAAGGCATTTTAGATTTTTCTTGGAATTCATACAAGTGAAAGTTATTAACGTTTTGTTCCAATTGAAAGTGGGTCAGAGCTAGGAATTCCTTTTCGAGGCTCAATTGCTCTTACCTCTTCCTGAACTTCTCCTGCTTCAATTGTTGCTTGCTCGCAAGAGAGATATTCGTCCATCCCCTTCAGACGAGTCTTCTTAGAATCTTTCTTAGACTCGTACACTTCTCGGATCTCCTTCAAGCAAGAAGTGTATATGTTGTAGTGCGAAAACGGAGAAGCTTCATAGTACCAGTTGCAAAAGCCAAGAACAGTGGAGGGTTATAATTTTGGCGGGGCAGCTTGAATATGGCTCCGGTACAACCAGCTATATAATAATACCAAGCCCTGACTCCTTCACATAAGTTGTCGGTAAGCGCAAGCTTAGGCCAGGGATTTCCAATAAACAGTTGGTCGTATCCAAATTGTCAGGCAAACTTGCAAGGCATATAAGGTTCGATAATACACTTATCACCTTGTCGAAAGATCAGATAACCCGGTCGAATATTTATCAGCCATCGGAAGGCGCCTCCATTTAGAGTGGTGAAGTGGGAAGGATCCTTCGTATCTTGATGAGTCTCGCCATCTCCGCTACCTTCAAATATTGGAAAGTAGCAGAGAATACGGTAGCTAGCGTCCATCGACAAAATCTTTCGGACCGAGACTATGTACACATTCTCCCATTTAGTCGTCTCAAGTCGCTGAACGAATGGAATGAAAGATCCGATATCCGGAGAAGCCTCTGTCATCAATGAGGGGCGGTGCATTACAAACCAGGTCACCAAATAAGTGTACAAAACTATTACGCGAGGTTGAGGAGTCTTCAACATTGTCTTCCTTCCTACTCTAATCTCCCGCACGTGGATAAACTCAGATACTAACTCCCGAAGGCCGCTCTGCAAGCAGCATACCATGGCAGAAATGAGATTCACTGGTCTACCATGAGCTAGAAGAACTGTGGGGTACACTACTTCAGCCAGGATAGATTCAATAGACTTGGTAGGTATCACACATCGTTTCAACCACAGCATCAAGAAGCCAGCAAACAGGGCCATGTTAGAAATAGGGGCCTGAGCTTGGTAGTGGAAGCTGTCGAACTTGGTGAAAGGGGGAAAGATATCCTCCTGAGCCTCGTTGATGTAACAAGCATCGTAGGCTTAATACGAGATTTAATGGTCTTGGGAGAGCTTGCCGGAAGACGGGTTAACTTGGCATCCTTCCGATTCAGATTTGGAAACAAGTATTCAGCCTAAGATGTCTCTGTGACACCGCCGCCTCGTAGTCCCTTCAGCTGAGCACAAATGTGGAAGTAGCACATTACTTTCCAAAAAGTCTCATAAATGGCGGGATGAGCTTCTTTTAGAATTGTGAGTTTTTCGATCCCGAGGATGAACTCCTCATAAGGAAACTCCCCGAGCGGTAAGCCAGAAACTTCATACATTTCATGAAGAGCGAACCTCAGCTCTCCAACATGTGTGAAGAATGTGCAACTGTCTGGGTTGTATCGCTCAAGCATGGCGAAGAGATTGTAATTGCTCTGTAAAATCTCGTGTCGGGTAGCAAATACAGGAATCCTCAAACTAGAGTGAATGAGGGGCTTCCTCAGATAGTCCAGGACAAAGTTAATCATACAGGTCCACCATCCTCCTTCTGTAGAATACATCCACCCAGGTGATCTAAATTCCTAGGTTGGGAACTCACCTTTTGCAGTGATGAATTGTCTAATAAAGACATTTGACAAAGTGCTCGCCTCCGTATCTGGGTATTTTCTTTGGATAAAACCGGATCGTAAGCCCATCACCCGCTGATCATACCTTACTGGGCAAGAGTCCTGATTGGCAAACTCACCAATAGATACGCCGTCTCCCTCTTTGATAAGTTTCCAACCCATGTGCCTTGGGACAGGTGCATTAGAAATATGATAGTGGATACATTCGCGTCATATCGGGCAAGAAAAGGTTGTGGTCATCAACTTTTCAAAGCATCTTGTAGTTCCTGTCGCTCACGATCTCAATGTCGACGTCGACGGAATCCCCAAACAAGAATGTTGGTTTCCTGAATTTTCTTCCATCATCAGTCCTGAACTCGAGGCCTATGGTGATGCCCTTGTGGGTCGTCAAAGACGCTCGCGTAAGGAGTTCTTTACGCTCCTTATTTTCGCCTTGGAATCTTGGTAATTCTTGGCGAAAACTGAAGCTCACATCGTGATCTGCACCGCCTTCGTGGCCGAAGTAATGGTGAAAAGAGAGCGAGGCGTTAGAATAGTGCACTGCAAAATAAAAAGACAACAGTCAGTATCTAAAAGGCAAACGACTGCTAAAAGTCCAAAGGACTAAATCAAAACGCAAAGGTCAGCCATGTGTTCCATAATCAAAATGCAAGGGCCGGTCCTGCGTTCCATAATCAAAACGCAAGGGCCAGCCCTGCGTTCCAAATTCAAAACACAAGGGCTAACTTTGGGTTCTAATTTCAAAACACGGAGATCAAGACCCGCGTTCTGGTTACAAAACGCAGGAGTCAATCCCGCTTTTCACAATTAGCGCAGAGGCTTGCTTCCGTGTTTCCATCGAAAAAGAACGAGTCTTGCTCGTTGTTGACAACCCAGAACTAGCCGTCTAGGGTTTGAAACTTGTCGAAACAAGTTGTGAGGGTTCGAACTTACCAAGGTAAAGAGGAACATGTCGCGACGGTGGCGCGGCCGCGGCCAACGGTTCATCTGGAGTCGACTCAACGACTCTCCTAGACCTGAAAACAGTTTTGTTAAACCCTATTGATGGTTCTTACCGGAGAATAGGTGCAGATCGCTGGAGATCTTGAGGAAGAAACGAGAACTTTCGTTTGGGACTTGAGGCGAACGAGGAAGAGTTATGAAACTCTTGATGTGACACATGTTGGGCTATTTATAGAGCCGCCAGGCTATTAAATCTACACGGGATTCTAGGAAAGAATCCCACTCAAAATAGGATTTTCGCGTTTCAAGATAAGTTGGTTAGACACCAACCAGAACGCAGAGTTCAGCCCTCGCGTTTCAAATTCCAAAACACGGAGCTCAACCCCGTGTTGCAAAACTACAAACGCAGAGTTCAACTCCGCGTTTCATCCCTCAAACGCAGAGATCACCTTTGCGTTCACAATTGTAAAACGTTAGGCTCACCCTCACGGTTCAAGCTTTGAACGCTGATCTCACCCTCGCGTTTCAAACATAATGTTTACTCTCACATGAGTTTGGCGTCATAAACGTCATTGACAAAATATTGTCTATCAAGTTAATATCACACTTCTGATAAAAGTTAACTTATCGATTCTCATCAATAGAGCGATGAGTCCTCAAAAACTTGGCCAAGTTAACATTACACTTCTGTTAGCTTGTTTCATTCTTAATATGACAAAGTCAACTTATCGACTCTCATCAGTAGCGCGGTAAATCCTCATCAATTTCTGTCAAGTTAATATGATACCTCTGACGACCATTATCCCCACAGAGTATGAATTTAACTTATTTTCTTAATATGACAAGCTTTTTCTGATGACAAAATCAATTTATCAATCCTCATCAATGGGGTGATAAATCCTCAAATTCCCGTCAAATTAATACTATACCTCCGACCAAATCAATCATCAATCTTCCTCAGTGAGACGCTAAGTCCTCAAAAAAAAACTTGTTCAAATCATAAAATCCTCAAAAAACTTGTTCAAATCGCAAGTCCTCAAAAACTTTGTCAAATCACAAGTACCTAATTTTGTCCAGCTAATATCGCACTTCTGATAAAATCCACCTATCGACTCTCTTCAATAGAACGGTAGGTCCTTAAAATCTTGTTCAAAATACAAGTACCCAATTTTGTCCAGCAAATATCACTCATCTGACAAAATCAACTAATCGACTATCTTCAATAGAACAGTAGGTCCTCAAAATCTTGTTCAAACCATAAGTACCCGATTTTACCCAGCTCATATCGCTCTAACAAAATTAATTTATCGACTCTCTTCAATAGAACGATAGGTCCTCAAAATTTTGTTCAAACCACAAGTATTCAACCCTGTCAAGTTAATCTCATACCTTTGACAAGTTTAACTTATCAATCTTATTCAAACAGGATTATAAGTCTATAAATTATTGTTATTATAACAGTCAAAACCTCATGAACTTGTTAATTCCCCTTTAATAGGATGACAGGTATTCATGAAAACCCCCAGCAGATTAATTTTTTTTAGAATTGTCTTAAATGATAATAAGAAAAATTGTTTAAATACTGCTTTGCATGGGAATTTGTGCTAAGTTAATACTACACATCTGGCATTTCAATCATTTTCATTGTTTCAAGATAGCGCATGACACATAAAAGAAACAGTGAAAAACCAAAACAGTATCACTTTTTATTCAAAATAAATATTAAGAGGTGATACAAGATAGTGTTATTCTTATCAAAAGAACGATACAAAATTAAGTTTGCGGGCCCATCAATTGGAAAGATGCGAGCCGGGACTTGATATCTGAAAGCTTCTCCTCGTGAGCAGCTCGCACCGTCGTTTCAGTTCTTCTCCAGAGTTCATCTTCGTTAGGCACCGCAGCGAGAGCTTCCTTCTTAACCTCCTCAAGAACCTGAACCTCCTTGTGGTAATTTACAAGGGTTTCCGCATTCCTGAGGCTAAGCCTAGTCACGATGGCTTCATCTCGAGCAAATTGAGCCTTTTGTCGTGCCAATTTCGCTTGCAATTGAGCAATGGTCTTTTCGATTTGAATGATTGTCGCTTGAGCAACCTCCAAAGCGGTGGATGAAATGGTCAGCTCATCTTGCCGTTGAGTACACTGCTCCTGCAAATGTACAACCTGGAGCTCTTTCTCAGCTAAGCCCCGCTAAACTACTTCACGCTGATTTGCCTCTTCAGTTTGGATATCAGCAAAAGTTAATGCAATCTGAGCGTCGATGTCCACACGCCCCAAGTCTTCCAGGGCTCTCAAGTTTTCCTCCAAGTGAGAGACCTTCTCTGTGCAATGGTGAAGCCATTTAGCGTTATCCACGCACTTGATGCTGCTCAGAGAATTCATCAAAATAGGCTTGAAATTCTCGAACGTAGCTCGTCCAGCACTTTCAACTTCAATCATCATTTTCATCATACTCTCTAATTGCCCCATGAGAACTTTGAGTACGTTGGGAACGTCCACCGGGCTTAAAGGGGCAGCAGGAAATGGCACCAAGGTCCCTGAAGTCGCAAAGCTTGGAACCAAAGTGGTTGGCGATTTCGACGAAGCAGCAGGACATGACACCGAGACCCCCAAAGTCGCAGAGCTGGACAATAAGGTAATGGGCGATTACGGTGAAGCAGCCGGAGAAGGCACTGAAATGTCCAAGTGCACAGGACTTGAAGGGAGAGCCATAAGCGCATGAAAGAAGCAGCTCTTGTAAATTCTAGTTGAATAGAAAGTTAATCGCTTGACTGCAAGATTCTAAGTTATTTCTCTCATTTTACCCAGTTTTGAGTCCATGATTGGAAATATAATAAAAGTGTACTGAACCATTAAGTATCTAAAAATCACATGTTCCAAAACATCACCAAAGATCGTAAAATTACCCTATAAACAACCAAGCATGCAAATTTTGAACTATTAAGAGAGCTGGTTTTTTTATTTGACATTACTATTAGACTCAGTTTCATATAAGCTAGAAGAAAAAGAAACCATAACACCAGTAATTTAGCTTGGTGGTAAATACAGGTAGACCTTGCTCCGAAATATATCCTTAGTTGCTTAGTCTGTATTTTGATGGTCCTGTCTTTTTGAAGTGTAGGCCATAAAGAACAGGGCTCTGGTTAACCTTATTTTCGTGAAAATTTAAGGATGATTATTCCCTTTAATTTAGTTGACTTTCTAGGTATTACAAAAGACACAAGCCCTCCTATGAGAGAGATGAAGAAGACAATGTTAAAATATTCAAATCTCTCTCTTGACCGTCGTAATAGACAATGATATATTTATTAATGTCTTAAGTGAGATGGATCTAGATGGTTGTTAACAACGAAGTGGGTAAATAAAGTGCGACATATGACATCAAACACTAATGGTCTAATATGTTATCACATTAAATCTATTAGATGAGTTGGGTTCAGGACTGATTTAAATCCCTGACATTAAGATGGTTTAAGAGAGATGAAGACGACTGTTAGTAAATTTTGTAGCAACTAAGATAGTTTAAGAGAGGTGAAGATGACTATATTAAATTTTGTAGCAACTAACGAATTTCAGATTTTCTTGGAATTCATGCAATTGTATCTTATTATGGTTTACAATTAAAGTGTGTCAGAGCTACGAGTTTCTAGCACACACAATCAAGATTATACAATTTCATTAACTGAGCTTTATGCTCAAGTCATAAAAGAAGAAACTCATTTAATATAGTAAGTCAGTTACTTGGTTGCAAGATGCTAAACTATTTCTCATCATACCCAAGTTATAAGTCCGTAATTGAACATATAATAAAAATGTATTGAATGATTACGTATCTAAAAATCACAAACAAATGCTCCAGAATTTCACTTTACTATCGGATGTCATCAAGTGGCATATCAAAGATCAATCACTGCACTGTGAGAGGTACAATTACGCCATGCACAACCAAGCATGTGAAAAAGTGAACTATGCAGGGAGCTCGATTTCTTGTTACACATTTCTATCAGATTCAATTAAATATATGCGAGAAGAAAAAGAAATAAAACATCAGCATATTAGTTTGACTGATAAAATACCTGTAAACATTCCTCGTGACATATATCCTTAATTGCTTGCAAGATAGTGATATTTTTTATGGTTTTCACACGTCAGTTTGAAGTAGAGGTCATGAAGAAGTGGGCTCGTGTTGAACCTGCCAATAACCAAATACAGATGAGTTTTTTGAGTTTTTTCCAATAAAAATGATTTACAATCATAAGATCAGTACAGGCTATACCTAGATGTTTTTACTAAGAAGTGTGACATGAAGATTTAAAAATAGTTTATTAGAATATCAAGTAGGCTTTGTACCAAAAAAAATAAAAGAAGCAGCTCTTCTAGATTACAGTTGAATAATAGGTTGATGACTTGATTGCAACTTTGCAAGATTCTAAATTATTTAAAATTCCCCTACATGTCATCATTTGAATCTTTTGCATTTACATGGTGTCAGCTATGAAGGCACAAGTCTACATAAATTGACCTTATTTTGAGATGACTCATGTACATGATACTAACAGGCTGTTTGTGTGTCATATTTCCAGGCTGACGATATATAGTAAGAAAAGAACTTCTCATAAGTAACTTCGAATGACAGTTCGCAGATTTGTTCTAACAATTTAAGCTCATGCATTTAAGGGGCAATCCTCCAAACTACCCTAGATTAATAAAAATCAAGACAAATGAAACAAGACAACTTTGTCGCATGCAGTTGCTCTGAATTCGGCCAAGAGAAATCTAACAAGGCAACAGAAATGCACTTGCTATTCGAAATCCTTCATAACTTCAAACAACTAAGAAGGGTTGCAACTTATAGATGAGCATATCATTTGCCTCAAATGTTTGCAGTTTAAGCAAGGTTTTAAATATTTGACGTCGGGAAATTTCGGACAACCAAAATCCACAACGGATTGCATATATTAGGGAAATATCGAGGATGTATAGCAAATATTGGAGTGTCATATCAAATAATGTGCATATATAATATAAGAAATGTAATCCAAACATTAATGATATTTAAGCAATGTTTAAAAAAGCGGAAGCGCAAAGAGAAGCATGGGCTTCATGAGTTTAGATATTTTAATTTTAAATTTATAAAAATTATAAACATATAATATATAGTGGTATAATAATTTATAAATATTTACATTCATGCCCTGATTAGTAAATAATAATTAAATATGTGAAGTATAGAAACAAATCATAATAAACTAAGCTACATGCATAACATATATATATTATTTACACTCACATGATCATTTTGAAAATACGTAGGGGCATTTTAATATTAGTCAAAAAAAATCCTTTTATATCCTCCAATCTTGTCTAAAGTGTGCATTTCAGAAGAAAGACACTTTATGAAGCACGAAGCATACACTTCAATTATGCTATAACGATGAGACGTAAGCTTCAAGGGATAAATAGCTTCACTCTTGGGTTTCGAAGCATTTACCCATCAAAAAGTTGCGAAGCAAGTTTCGAAGAGTTTCAAAAAAGCTTTTCAACTATTGAATCTAAGCATACAAAAAATATAATAATATATGTGTAGGATCACTAACCAATTGTAAAAACTTACTCAAGGAACTTACTCAAGGAAAAGAGCATGTTAGAATTAGCTTAAAAACTTCATAGGGATTGGATTTTTGCTGAAAAATATTGAAAACTTTTGTTGAACGATATTGTAAACTTTTGTTGAACTATATTGTTTTGCAACAAGTCATATAAAAGTACATACTGCTAACATATCAACTAATATATCGGCCATGCCGGGGACGTATTGCCCAAAATTTGCCAAAAAACGATAAATGATATTGAGACCATATCAGTTAGCGGCAAGCCTTATAAAAGGATATATCAACCGATATATCAGCCATATTAAGGATATTTAAAACAATGGTTTTAAGTGTATTAAAAGATAAAACAAATACTTAAAAGATCTAGCATCCTTTCCTTAATTTGGTAAATAAACTCATTTTCTTCTATAAGTATTAATATACTATAAATTGACTTTGAGGTTGTTTGGGGAGCTTTTTTTGTTGTTAAAGTAGCTTTTAAGCTAGCTTTTCCATACCTACATGTTTAGTGACATCCCAATTAAGCTAGCTTTTAAGCCTAATTTTAAAAAATTGGGGTTCCCTGAATTTTGACAAACCAGCTAATTAGCTCATCTAAGTAAGCTAGGTTTGACCAAGTAAATTACTTTTCTACCATACAAATTTAATGAAGAGTAGGTTATAAAAACGAAAAGCTATCAAAAGCTAACATAGCTTATAACATCAAATTTAAGCTCTCCCAAACACCCTCTTTAAGCTAATTAACTTCAGATTTACATTAATAGAAAGTTTGAACATCCAACTTTCTACAAACACACATTATTAAGATCATTCGATTTAATTTTAATATAATGCTGACATTCTTGTATTCATCAATGACAAAATTGGAATCAGTTTTAAGGAGAAACAACTGAGCACTATATATTTAAAAGTAACCTCTAAAAGGAATATATCCTCAGCCATTTAGTTTCGAGATGTGAAAGTGTGTTTCTATCTATAAGAAACAGTGTGTCGAGGTGTGAACGAGGAGGGATGAATTAGGGGGCGTACAACATCACTAGGTTTATCTCTTTCCGGTCTACTACATGCAATGACTAATGACAAACCCCTTCATCATAAATAAAAGGAAAAGTATGGTCATTCCATTTAGACAAGAGACTATACCCTAGTTCTACTCCTCTATAATTTAAAATGCTAGGTTTTCTCGATATTAGCATCTTAAATCTTTAATATTTTGATTTAGTCCCTCGTATCATTGAAATTTCCAATAGGCCCTCCAATTCTTATAAGTTGCCTCAAACTCTCAAATCATTGAGATTGCTACTAGGTCCCCGCAACCAATTCTTAGATGTTACTTCAAATTAATCCCTACAATCAAGAGAAGCATCAACAAGATATAATAATTGGGGGATCTAATAGCAATTTCAATGACTTCAGGGACTGTTTTCTAAATACTAATGGTTAAAGGGATTAATATCGAAAATTCCTTCTATGTTTCGGTTTATCCACAATCGAAAGTCTACATTACGAAAAAGTTAGTGTAGAACAAGCATGCATCAATTTAACCTACTTTGATTATAATAATAACTACAAAAGCGGCACATTTCGAACTCTCAGCTGAGAATCATACATAAATTCTACTCGCTCCAGATCAAACTCGAGCAAACGATAATAGGGCAAAAAAGAAATCAAAATCATCACAAAAGCAAACTAAGTCGAAAATTCTTTCCGACCTAAAAATCTAATCTTGATCACATCGAGAGGCGACGTCACCTTGCGAGAAATGTCGCCGGATATCACTCCATCTCCTCAACGAAATCGAAATCCCCCAAACAGAAAATAAAATTAAAATAAAAATAAAAGCGGCGGAATAAAAGAGTCCTCTTTATATCGGAGAAGGATTATAGACTAGGGTTTTGGGGAGAGAGAGAAGAGTCTACGAATCGCCGACATTTTGAAGAAAACTCTAAAATGGAAAGTGACGCGTGGTTTTCTTGCTGTTTTTTCCTTTTTTTTTTGTCTTTTGAATTTTTTTGGAAAAAAATGTGTTTAAGGCCCCAAAATAAGAAGCACATAAAGTTTTTGAGAAAATTGTGTGTAGACCCCGAAATATTAAAGGGGATGTGAGTAGGCCCCTAATATTTTTTTTTGTGCCAGCCCCCAATACCCAACATTCTTATGTTTTAGCCCTTTTTATGTTTCTTAGACCGCACGCAGGGGAAAAAAAAGCGAAAACCCAAAACTGCGCTTTGCCCCTACTCCCCTCAAAACCTGGCTGTCTTCTCTCTCTCCCCCTCTTCGCTCTCCGCAAACCTAGCTCATCTCGAGAACTCATTTTCAAAACCCAAATTCACTCAAGCGTCCAGGAAAATCAGAAAGAAAAATGCCCAAAAAAATTTAAGAAAAATGGGCGAGAAGCCTGAGGAAGAGAAGGGTGAAGAAGACCCCACGCAAACCGAAGTGGTTCGCCAGGTTCGCCACCGGCGACGCTCAGCGCGATTGGAGAAGGAGGAAATTCCAAACTTATCTGCCTCCGCCTCCGCCTATACCCTCATATGTCCCGCCGGTGGTTCTCCTCCAACATCCTCTAAGGACGAGGAGAGTAACAAGGCGACGGAAACCCCGAGCATTAAAAGGGTACTGGAAAATCGAGAGCGGAAGAGGAGACGCTCGCCAAAAGAAGTGTTCACCTCAAAGAAGAAGTAAGTTCCCAATCAATTACGTGATTTTGAATTTAATTAATTTAATTGAGTGATTTGAATTTAATTGAGGTTTATGGGTTCTGTTTATGAGAAAATATTGGTCAGAAACTGGTTATTGTAGTGTAGAACCAGTTTCTTACTTTTGGAGTAAGATCTGAACAATATGAAGTATAATTGTTTGGAAGAAATGCATGCCAATAATTCACATAGTTGTTAGCTAGTGGCAATGCATGTCAATTATTCTCGTTTGTTGTTAATGTTTACCCTTAATGGTGTGTTTGGGAGTTTACTAAGGGAAGGGAAGGAAAGGTAAACAACGGGAAGGGAAGGGAAGGGAAGGGAAGAGAATTGTAATATGTTGTTTGGGAGTTGAGTAAGGTGAATGAAGGTGAAAGGAAGTAAATATATGTAAATTTACATAAATGACATTATACTAATAACACATCAGCCCTTTTATTTGTTTTGATGGGGGTAAGAATGTCATTACACTTCTTTACCGAATGTCATTACACTTCTTTACCCTCATTTACCCTCCTCTACCGCCCAAATCGGGGGGGGGGGAGAAAACCAAGCAATTTTACTCTCCTTTCCCCTTCCTTCCTCCTCTCTACCCTCCTTAAAAAAACTCCCAAACAAGGTGAAAGCCTCATTTCTCTTCCCCTCCCTCTCTCTATCCTCCATCCAAACAGGGCATAAGTGTCAACTATTAGCTATTCATGTTAATAAATATTAACTTTTACTAAGTTAATGCCTTTACTGTTAACTGTTACCTAATTTGAATTTGAACGATTTGTTAAGAGTAAATAGTTGTGATGTAGGAAAGTTGATGTTGTAGGTGATATAAAGCCTAGTGCATGTTTCGGATCGTATTATATATTCATGCAAAAACTTTAACCAAAAATAAAGAAGTGGCATTGGGATGCCTACAAGGGCACTAACTTTGAGCACTATGTATTATTCGGACATCCAACACGTGATCGACGGGCACTAGAGCATGTGCTCAGTCATTATGATGCCGAAACTGATGAATTCTTTTTTCCTGATCCCCAAATAGGGTCTCTAGTTTCAGTAAAATTTGATGAAGAGTGGGTGCAAACTCACACAGGCTTCCCTATTGATGGGAAGTTGATCTATGGGAATAAAGACTCTCACAACCGGCTTTAGAGGGAGTACTTTGAAGATAAGAAAGAAATGTTGAAGGACAAGGCAAAGGCAAAGGCCAGGGCTACAGAAGAAGCTGGTAGCATGAGGAAATATGTTGAAGAGTTACTGGAGATACTTGTTGAGTTAAGTGATAATTGAGTCAAGTGATAGTAAGGACATTGAGGATTTTGTGCTTCTTTAGATTTTGTACCACTGTTCAATGATTTGGTGCCCGAACAGCTCACAATGCATCCCAAGACAGTTGTTTCAATATGTATATAGTATTGAGAGAGTGAAGAACATTGTGTGTGGTAAACTTATTTTTGACGATACGAAGACAGGCATTCAAATTGTCATTGAAGGGTTGAGGAAGCCAGGGGTTACGTACGTACCCGGATGCATGCCGCTCATCCATGTAAGTTGCATATTCATATATGGTTTAACATTTGTTTTAGTTATTAACAATTTTGGTTACAGGCATTAGATAACATGTCCAAGATTGAATGTTAACAGGATATTGTGACAATTAACATGTTAACATAAAAGTTAACATGGAAACCTAAAAGTTAACATATTTAAGTGAAAGTTAACATGTACTCATGAATGTTAACCTGTAATAGTGAAAGTTAACCTTTTAACTCTGAAATTTAGCTATTTAGAATAAAGTTGAACAAAGGGTTTTGACAGTTAGGAAAATTATGACAAATATTTGTTGCTTCTATTTTAACAGCTATGGTACTATGAGATAACAGGCATTAAAAAACCAACCCTAAACTTGAGATGGAAGCATTCGTTGACCAATTGGGTAAGGGTCGGAGGGACGGCTGGATCGTTGAGGAGGGAGACAATTGTCTCCAATGTAAAAAAAAGTAAACATTAAGATTAAGGATAAACCAATTTTAACCAGCAGCCCATGGGGTGAGAAATACCCTCAAAGGGAGCCCAACGGGAAAAATAATACTAGCGCTCGTCGTGGAAAAAAAAGGATCCCACCTATATCATCTAAGAGTAAAGATATGGTGGTTTCACTGCCAAGGAAGAAGGAGAAGATAGAAAAGGTAAAGGATGAAAAGCAAGCGAGGGTGAAGGGTAGACCAAATAGCTCATCTGTAGGATACGTAAGCATCAATGACCCTTTACTGGTTTTTCCATATTTATATTGGTTGAAATTTTGTAACTTCATCATTAATTCATTTTCAATTTACATTGTTTCATGATTGGTTTCTTTGTACAAGATAATTACATTGTTTCATGTTGAGTTAGTGCCCAATGTAAATGATTATGTTAGTACATGTATTTCCTTAACAATCATGATAACTTCTAACGTTTTATGTTATCTTTCATGAAGTTGTGCTCATGTTAGTTTTCAGGTTAACATGTTAGTTTTCAGATTAACATGTTAGCTTTTCATAACTTTATCCTTAATTTTGTGGATTTACATGGTAATGGGGATATATTTTTTTTTAATTTTCTCCTATCATATCAGGGATGCGCTTGAAAGAGAAGATGAAGTAGAGAAGTTGACCAGTGATCAGCAAATTCAGTTCTGGAGGAATACGACCTAATTAAATTGGAAATTGCTCCGTGCTACAAAGCATGGTAAGTGCCTTCAATGGGATGCTTGCTCTAAGGAGATACATAGGCTGAATAGGAAATTAGAGCTCTACGAAGGAACTGTTGACCTGGTTGATCCCGAAAACCTGAAGAAAAATGTAGAGGCTATTATGTCCAAGAGTGATAGGCACACAAGGGTTGCACATGTGAAGAGGAAAAGTAGTATTGATAGCATTGACAAGGGTGACGATGTCGATTGCTTCAATTATGATGATGTGTGCATTATTGGTAAGGAAGCCTCTTATATTATGGAGGATGTAGCGCAAGCAGAGCAGGAGGTAGATAAAGTTGACCAAGATGAGGATGAAGAGAAGGGAGGGGAAGATAAAGAGGAAGAGATGGAAGAGAGAGAGCAGGAGAAGAAAGAGGAAGATAAAGAGGAGGACGAGAAAGAGGAAGATAGAGAGCAAGAGCTGTTTGAGGAAGATAGAGAGCAGGAGAATAAAGAGGAAGATACAGAGGCATCTGAGAAAGAGGAAGATAGAGAGGAGTAATTTGAAGAGGAAGATAGAGAGCAGGAGATGAAAGTAGATGAGAAAGAGGAAGAGAGAGAGCAGAAGATGATTAAGGAAGGAAAGGAAGAAGAGAAGAGAAGTGCAGAGAAAGTGGTGGAGAGGAAAGTGGAGGAGAAAGACTTGCTACAAGTTTATCAAAAGAGATTGAAGAAAGTTGTTTCCAAAGGGACAAGGGGACCAAGTACCAGAATCAGGACGCGATCTTAGCTAGTCTGAACCCCTTTTACTGAAGAAAAGAAGAATGTAGCTCATCCAGATATAATTACAATTTCACACCATAAGGAGGATGATAGGAAAAAATCAGATACTACTGCAAGCATGGTAAATGCACTTGGGATTTTCAAAAGAATTAGAAAATCAAGAAGAAGGAGGAGGCTTTGTTGAAGTTGCTGAACGAGGGTATTCCTGTTGTTGATGATTTTAGTATACGCTTGGTTGATAGTGAAAGAACATGTAGCGGCAAAGCTCACACTAGAGGAGAATAGCTGGGTCTCAGAGTTTTGCAATCAGAAAGCTCATCGGTAAGTTTAATTCATGTAAACTAATGTATCTATATGCATGTTTATGTTAACAGATACATGTTAACTTATGCACATTTATATTAACCTTTGCTAGAACATGTCATTGCTCACTGTTATATGTTAACGTTTCCATAATTATGTTAACTTATGCCCATTTATGTTAACCTTTGCTAGAACATGTAAGCTTTCATTGTTATATTGTTATATGTGCACGTATCGATACATTTATGTTAACCTTTGCTAGAACATGTAAGCTTTCATTGTTATATTGTTATATGTGCACGTATCGATAACAACTGTTAATGTTTGTATCTTTCTGGTAAGCTTTCATTGTTATATTGTTATATGTGCACGTATCGATAACAACTGTTAATGTTTGTATCTTTCTATCATACATCAGGTCATGTATTGTTGTTAATACGTCAAACAGTAGCATTAATTCTTTGGAGCTTCTCAATCTACTATGGGGAGGTCGTATTGATGACCATGCAAGTTTAATTGACTCACTATATGTATTTATGTCTTTTTTAAGTGTTGTGTTGTTATGCAATTTAATGTGTATCTTATGTATGGCAAATTTACAAGTCATGGAAGCTTTGATCAATAGAAAAAGCACATGGCTAGATAGCCCAGAAATTGCTCCCCTGAGCCATAATTATGGGGTTGTATCAGTCTTCTTCTACGTAAGTTAACAATTTTCTGCTACTAAGCTTCTTTAACTCCTGTTTACTCCTGATATAACATTATATTCTTGGCAATACAGCACAACATTTATGCAATCACTCCTGATTTCCCACATATCTGTACTTCATTTATACAAAAGCATGGTGTTGAAAGGAAGAATATACTCCTTATCCCGCTTGTGCATCAGGACCATTGGCATGTTGCTGAAGTCAGGTTAGATGAGGACGTTATCAAGCATTACAGCTCAGTTACCCACGATGCATATATTAAACTAATGAATAAAGTAATTGGTTTTATGGATCATATGAAGTCTGGTTTTGATTCCGATAATGTTTGGAGGAAGTTCAGATATGAAGTCGTCCCTTGCGAGCAACAGTCTGGAATGTTAGTATTTCACAAGTTTATCTTTTTCATTGCATTTAGCATCATATATCTAACAGAAGATCATTTGTATCTCTGTGTTACAGTTTTGGTTGTGGGCTTTTCGTTCCCTTATACATGAAGGCTATAATCAATGTGGCTGATACGATTCAGGTAACTAATCTAGGAGACAATTCTGCCGTCATCCGTGCCAGGCTTGTAGCCAAACTTCTTGTGGAAGGATGGGAACAGAGATATCAAGAGGAGATTGGAGCACAGGATGGGTGACAGTGTTATCATTATGTAGTAATTGAACAAGCTAACTATGAGAACAAATGTAGTCTTGTATACTAATTTGAACAGTTGTGGATGGGTGAAAGTTTGAAACTTGTTGTTATGGTACTTTTGTATAGGTTAACATATGTTGCTGAAAGTTAACCGATTTCATCAAAAGTTAACCAATTTTAGCGAAAGTTAACCAGTTTTAGCAAAAGTTAACCAGTTTTAGTCAAAGCTAACCAGTTTCATCGAAAGTTAACCAGTTTCAGCAAAAGTTAACATGTCGCTCTGAAAGTTAACCAATTTGAGTAAAATTTAATATGGTAACTTGAAATTTAACCACTTTGGATTAGATCAAATAGCTCTGGAAGTTAATCACTTTCAGTAAAAGTTTACAAGTCGATGTTCAATAAACTTACAAAAAATAATGTTTAATTTTCATACCACAGTTTTCAATTATGAACTGCACATGTTTCAGTTCATTTTCAACTTGCATATCATAATGTTTAAGCAAATTAGAACCACACAAAAACAACATAGAAAGAACGAACAAGTTTTCTATTTTTCAACTTCACGATTCGATTGCTTCAATGCTTTCTTTAACTGTTTTGTTTTGACTGCTATCTCATCTTCAATAGGTAATTCTTGGTGAACGGCCATGTTCCCCTTCATTGCATTAGCATTGTGAGCCCAAGCAAAAAACTTGCATTGCCTATTTGGGAACTTTGCACATCTTCAGAAGTATCTACCTTTGTTGTTCCTATTTTTGCACTACCTGATGGGGGTTGGAATTTTGTAGAAACAACATACCTATTCTAGTGCTTGAGAGCCCTCCTCAGTCTTCATCTCACAATCTCAAAATGAGATTTGAATGGATGTCTGGAACAAAAGATAAGGTTTTAGTTGAGCTTTGCATAACATTATATATTGCATATGGAACAAATAGCTAGCCATTGGGAATATGTCTGTTGGAATAGTTAATTAGCTAGTCGTTGCACAGTCACCTAGATTTGAGAACGGTCACCAATTTAAACTCAAACTTTAGGACTAAAAGGTAACCACTTAAGATTTAAACTCAAACTTTGGGCCTAAAATGTAACCACTTCAGCTAAAAGTAGTAGTACAGAGATAGTTATATATTAACATGTTCAAGTACAAAATTCAAAACATCTTGCTGACTTGCAGCATGTTACAATTGTCTCACAATATATAGTCCAAACTTGTATACAACTTATATTTCTCTAGCGCCATTCCTGTTGTAAGAAACATAACACACTAATCACCGATGGGCTCGTTGCAAGTTGATCCGTTGTGCCCCTCAGCTTTGCATCGACCACATTTGAAGGGACGTTTCAAGACTTCTCTGTTGTTTATGCATCTTGTTCTATTTCTTCCCCTCCTCTTCATGGTAATTGGTGGTAAAATCTGGATTTCATCCCTGGGCACACTCCGCTTCTCATAATCTGGTATGGGATATAATATTTTATCGTAGCTCTTTTTAAACGCTTCTACGGACATGAACCAGTCACAATATTGATATACCGCTCTTTTCATATTAAAGATGACTGCACAAGCATGCACACAAGGAATACGAGTTACGTCCCAAGCACGGCAAGTGCATGTCCTCTTCTCAAATCAACGTGAGTGGTTCTATGTGATTGCACTTCAAATATATCACCTCTAGATTGCTTAATATCTAAAGTAGATCCTTTTTCCATATGTTCTCTAACAATTTGCTCAGCTTTAGGACAAAGATAGCTTGTCCACTTATCAGCCATTATGCGTCTGTTGTTCATGCGAGTCATAATTTGTTTGCGGATATGCTCCAGCATTTGCAGGATACGCAACAATCGAGCTTCACGTATCCAGCTGTTAAAGGATTCTGTAATATTAGAAGTTACATAACCATATCTGCAAACATCAAAATAATAGAAAGTATGGTCAGCATCTAATATATAATAAGATTAACATGTAGCCACAAAACTTAACCTTTAGTATGGAACGTTAACATAACTACATGAAAGTTAACATATATTGGTAAACACTAATATATATCAGCGATAGTTAACCTACAGAAGGAAAAATTCACATATAAGCCAGATAATATCAGTGATAGTTAACCTACAGAAGGGAAAATTCACTCATAATGATTGAGTGCGGATCCTGATGCTAGGGAATAATACATTTGCCCAATGCTCTGGCGAGTAGTTAATTGCAATCTCATATGCAGCTGGAGACATCTCATATATATCATTCATGTAGTCGTTCCATTCCGTAACAGTGTATCTATAGCAAGTTAATTGGAGCAAATTCCCCAAAACTTGTACGTCTTTTGCCTTCATTCCCAAAGCTTTTAGTTTTGATCTAAAATTTTCAACCAGGTGCAGAACACATCTTGAGTGAATTGCTTCATGGAAATATTCTCTCACCGCTTCTCGAATCCCCTTGTAGGCATCAGAAATAATAACCAATTGATGGGGAGGATAGTATGGGTCTGGTCTTTCATACAGTATGGACCACAGGCCTTGAAGGAACCATCTCCAATTATCAACATTTTTCTGATCATATATGAAATATGCAAGTGGAAATATCCATTGGTCTCCGTCATATGGTATGGCGCTCAGGAGCGTGCCTTTGTATATGTCTTTCAAAAAGGTCTTATCCAAAAATAATAGGGGTCTACAACCATTTATGAAACTAATGATGCAAACAGTATAACATATAAACAGTCTTTTGAACCTTCCTTCATTCTGGTCGATGCAAATGTAGCTTCCTGGATTCGTTTCCTTCACCTTTTGCTCATACCTGTACAACAATATGACCACATTTTACATAAATATAATACATTGGAACATAAGGGTAATATATATTAACATAAAAGCTCATAATTTTTCATGAAACATAACAGTCCACGATGATAGCTAAAATATATATTAATAAAAATTAACATGAAGCATCTAAGGGAAATATATTGCATGATAAATTAACTACTAACATTGTGGGTGGAGTGACTACGATCAATATTTGTACATTTAAACAGATAACTGTAAAATTTATCATCTTAATTGATCGTAAGACTCATAACTAAAACCGTACATAGCCTCTTGTGCTCTTTCTTTGCCCCACCATATCTTACTGTATTCAAATCTAAATCCATATTGAGTGAGGAACTCCTTTTGCATATGTGAAAAATTAGGAGTGTTGGCATAAAGACTAGGCTATATTGCAAATAAGATAATGTTATGTCAATTATTAACAAGATATGAAGATGGTTAGGGGTTTGATCTAGTGCTTATGCAAAAATAAGTTGATATGACTCCATATTTCTTACTCGGTGAGGTATTTTTTGGTCTCTCTAACCATGCGCTTATTCTATCTATCAAAGCTTTCGTGACCTACAAAATTACCATGCAAGAATGAAAATTAACATGCACAATAATAAAACATAAAAGAAAGCTATGCATATATTTAACATATTAAAGTTGCATGGTCATCGAGACGGCTTCCACAAAGAAAATACAGAAGCTGTAAAGCATCAATACTACTATTCGAAGTATTGACAATAATACACCTCCTCAAATATAATAGTAAGACACAAAAGTTAACGGTTGCTAATAATAGTTGACATGTGCTAAAGAAAGTTAACAGGAAAGGGCAAATGTTAATAGGTTGTTATAAAAGTTAACATGTATCAATGAAAGTTAACATGAAAGAGCAAACGTTAATAGTTTGCGATAAAAGTCGACATGTAGCAATGAAAGTTAACGTGTACGAGTAAAAGTTAACACATATGTGTCCTAAGTTAACATATATAGTATAATATTAATAGTTATACACAAACATTAACATGTATGGTTAAAAGTTCATAGGTAATGTACAGGTAAACATGAATGAGAATTACGAATCTTACTGATGGAATTTCTAATTGCAAAAATTAGAAAGTCATTTATTCTCATCTTGTGTGAGCTTTGCTGCTACATGATCAGAATATTCTAAAATTGTGAATGAAAGTTCCTTCACTATCCTCTAGGCATATGCTAAAATTAGAAACATCATGAATACTCTTGTTTAACAACTTCAGAAGAGCTTCCTCCTTCTTCTTCTTGATTTTCCTGTTCTTCAGCAAATCCTAGTTGCATTCATCGGGTTTGTAGCAGTACTTGATTGTTTTTCTCTCCTCAATTTTCTGGTGTGATACTTCAATTATCTCTTCATCAATTCCCTTCTTCTTTCCTTCAGTGAATGGGGTTCGAACTAGCTGTGATCTCATTCTAATCTAGTACTCGGTGCCCTTGTCCCCGCCTTTGAAACAACTTTCTTCATCTTCTTCTGATACACTTTCGCCTCCGGTTCTATGAAGAATTTATCAATTGATATCTCCAACCTTCTCCTTCTTTCCCTCTTTTTTCTCTTCCTCTTTCTTCTATTCTTCTTTCTCTTCCTCTTTCTTCTATTCTTCTTTCTCTTCCCCTTTCTTCTCTTCCTATCTCTCCACATTCTCAGCATCCTCTTCTTTCCCATCTTTCTTCTCTTTTTCATTCTCCACATTCTCAACATCCACTTCCTGCCCTTCTTCTTTCTCCACTTCCTTCTCTTATTGCGTAGCTTCTTGGTTTTTCTCTTCTACTTTATCTATTTCCTTCTCCGTTTGCATAACCTCCTCCACAAAGCTTCTTTTCTAATATTGGTTACATTGCCATAATCGAAGCAACCAATATCATCACCCCTATCAAAAGAATCCAAAACATTGTTCTTTTTCTTCTATGTCTTAGTATGCCTATCATTCTGTGTTATAAGATTCTTTACATTCTTCTTCAGTTCTTCAGGGTCAATGAGATCACTGGTTCCTTCATAGGGTTCCACTTTCTTGTTAAGCCTTTATTTCTCCTTGGCGCAAGCATCTCATTGATATTGCTTACTACGCTTGACATCATGGAGTAATTTTCAATTTATTTTAGCAGCATTCCTCCAAAAATGAATTTGTTCATCACCTGTTAACTTTTTTATCTCATCTTCCCTCTCAAAAGCAACATTGATATGCTAGGAAACAATCTAAAAAAATTACTAAATAACTATTAGCTAGATAAACAATGAAAAATTAAGGATAAGTTATGAAAGACAACAAAATGTTGAAATGTTAACATGTAAGCCAAAAAGTTAACACATAAGGCTAAAAGTTAACATGTTACACTAAAAAAACTAACATGTACGAATGAACATTAACATGTAACAATGTACGAATGAACATTAAAAAACTAACATGTTACACTAAAAAAACTAACATGTTACACTAAAAAAACTAACATGTACGAATGAACATTAACATGTAACAATGTAAGTTAACATGCAACAATGTATGCTAACACGCACACAGAAAGTTAATATGAAAGAATCAAATTAACATGTAATTCTGATAAAGTTATAAAATTACGTTCGATATTAACATGCAAGAATGTGTAAAGAATAATTGATGCTTACGTAGCCTATTGATGAGCTCTTAGGTCTCTCCTTAACCATTTCTGACTTCTCCTTCTTCTTATTCTGAACAACCCTCTTTGGCAACGATTGCTCTATAGATTTAAGTAGTTCATGATACTGCATAACTAGTTTTAAAGTTTAATTATACTATTATTATTTAAATAGAACTCTATTTACAATTGTTATTCTCTCACTTGCAACATTACATGCAAATATATATAAGCCAAGAAATTACAATAATTTTCATAGCACTTTCATCTCCTTCTATAGATATGTGACTTTGTTATTTCTTTTTATTAGATTAGATTAAATTATTTTAAAGTAATTAATTATATTGCGTATTTAATCTTTTTTATATTAAGAAATAACAATAATTTTCATAATATTTTTATCAATTTTCTTCTTTTAGATTAGATTAGATTATTTTAAAGCAATTAATTATATCATATAGTTGATCTTTTTTATATCAGAAATTGTAATAATTTTCATAAAACTTTCATCTCCTTCAACATGTATGTGTTGGCCTTCTTGTTTTGATAATGTTTAACAAACAATTTACTTCTAATATTGTTTGTCTAGTGTTTGTGTTTTCGTATTTATTCTAGGCAAACAATGAGTTGGAGGATGGATGGAATAGCGCTTCAATGACGATATCAAATGGAGGTTGGCGGAATTGTGGAGTGAAGCTTATGCAATTCAAGTTCAAGATCCAAGTTCAGCTTCATCCGCATAGTGTACCAAGTCAAGCTATTGAAGATCAAGATCGGCTTGGGTAATCTAGTTTAGGTTTTATATTATGTGTGTTAGATACTCTAAGCTCAATATCATATACACACACATTTCATTGGTTTCCTTGTATATATATGTAGTCATATATATATACAACACAAGTTTTGATTTTTATGTTTATAAATATGAAATTACATATTTCATATTTATTATTGTGATTTGGTTTAACTACTTAGATATGAAACAAATATATTTTCATATACATACTCATATGTTTTATTTTCTATTGTATTTGTAAAAATATTGTATTCTTAGTTTTTGGACTTAACAATAATCATATACATATTTTATTAAGTCTACATAATTATTATGCAAAGTTTCAAAACATGGTTTAGCCTAAATGACAAAATTCATATGTTTACATTTTTGTGTTTTGGACTATTTTGTAAAATAATGATATTTCTCATTTGGGAAGTCCTTTTAGAAAACCAGTTTTTGTAGCATGTGTATTATCATGACTACAATTATTTTTCAAAGTTTTATAATTTTTAGAATTTATTTGATATTTTTAGTGTTTTAAAATCAGCAAACTGTTTTCAAAACCTGAAATTTCATATATCAGTTCATGGTCGACCGCCACGGTCTACCACGCCCATGTTTTTTCCTGAGAAGTTAGCAGAAACTTTCACGGTCGATCGTAGCGGTCGACCGTCAGTCTGTAAGTTCTCATGGTCGACCGTCGCGGTTGACCGTAGCCTGTTTTGATTGTTTTCTCAGTTTTAATGACCTTCACGAGCCGATCGCCCAACAGTCATATTTGGTACAGAATCATATTTCTGATTCGTTGGGGTTTTTGGTCTTTTGTTTGGGGTTCTTGGCTGAGTTTTTGGGAGGCTATAAATACCCCCTTGATCTCAGTTCTCAACCCAATCCAAGAAATGTTTTAAAAGAGTTTAAGTTTGTTTAGTTTGTTTTTATGATTTGTTGTTACAAAGAGGAGTTTGCATCATCTGTTGAGGAGTTCATCTTTAATATCTTCTCATCCTCTCTTTGTGTTTATAGAGAAGTTTTCTAACCCTTTTCTCTAGCAATATTATTATTGATTTTTATATTCTTATTATTGCTAATTTGCTATTTGAGTTAGATTTGATTTTACTTATTGTTTACACCCACACCCACTTGAGCTTATTATATTTTCATACATAGTATATTTAGATTGGTGAGAGTTGTAACAATTGAGTGTGAGCTTTTATTGTGTTCTCATACATATTAGAGAACAATCATTTTTTGTATTGTGCTTAATCGTGAGATTAATTTGTAATACACTTATACACCGAGAGGAGTGTGTGGTGAGAGTCGGGGATCGTCCCAAGAGGAGTGGTGTCAGTTGACAAACCTAGGGAGAGGTTGTAACCGAGCACTTGAGGGAGACACGGCTAGGTCCAACACTTGTGAGGGTGTAGAGTGGGTTTGTAAGAGTGTGAGTTGTAGAGTTTTCGGTTAGCTAGAAAACCGAGTGTGTAGAAGTTCTGACTTCCAAACCGGATTGTGATAGTGAATTTCTCCCCGGGAGTGGGGAGCGGAGACGTAGGACGGAAGGTCCGAACTCCGTGATCATTTGATTGTGTTTGAGTGTGCTTTGGCATTTATTCTTATTTGTACTCATTGCTCATATCGTCATTGTCTCATTATTTACTTTGCCCACTATCTTGTTTATGTTTATTTCACCCTTGTGTTAATTTGTATATCCTTGCATATATCCCATAGTATATCTCATTGCTAGGATATATCTCATTGTTCATATTGCTTACCCTAGCTCATATATCTTATTGTATTTCATACTTGTTAGGATAACTTATTAATTAGTTTTAATTGGCATAAAGTCAGAAATCCCCCCCCCCCCCCCTCTAGGGTCTAACAGTATGTGCCTTTATTATTTTCTTTTTATTAGATTAGATTGTTTAAAAATTATGAATTATAAAATTTTAATATTTTTATGCAAAATTTTTAATATGCTTATGTGAATGATTTTGTCATATAAAATTATACTAGAATTACCAATAATATTTAGTATTTATTTTTTATTTCAACATAATTTTCTAACTTCATTTCATTCACTTTTCTTTGTTAATATCCTTTAACAAAATCAACGCCAACTATTTTCCACTATGGGGGTATCGATTTATTAAAATAAAACTTCATGGTATCACCAAAATTCAAAAAAGATTAAACTTTGGGGTGTTAAAGTGCAATTAACCATAAAAAAACCATCAAGAAAATCAAAGCAATTAAGAAGAGGATTGAGTACCAAGTCGAGGGCAATCTTCTCATGGTCACCAGCGACTGCTAATTGCTTCACTATCCCTTCAATCTACATTTAACAGCATCCTAAACCCCTAAAAACTCAAGCGACTGCTAATTGCTTCACTATCCCTTCAATCTACATTTAACAGCATCCTAAACCCCTAAAAACTCAAACAAAGCCCTAATTTGACCGAAGAAACAAACAAAACCCTAAAAAATTCACACCTCGAAAGCGGGGATCTTTCGCTTCTCGTACAGCTTGTCGGCTAACCCTCGCTGGACCGTGACCGGAATCACATCTCTCATTGCTTCGCTGTTTGATCGACATTCAACTTTGAGATTGGTAACGGAGAGTTATTAGAGGATGACGTCAGCATCAACGATTCACGGGAGATCTGAATGAGGAGGAAGAGAGTGGAAAATCGTCGGTTCTTCTACGATTCAAGGGGAGCGATAACTTAATATGAAGAGAGTGGATACGTAGAGAAAAAAGTGGATCTGGAGAGGAGAGGTTGGTTAGAGAGAAAAGGGGTGGTTTTTAGACCTGCTTAGTCGTGGGAGTTTAAGAACCGCAGTTAGCAGTTAATACGGGGATTTTTTTACTGTTCATTCTTATTGTTCTCCTTTAGTAATAAAGAAGTAGATAGCCTATAAAGTACGTGAATTTTATTAGTATTTGTATCTATATACTAAAGTTACTGGGTCTATAATTGTCTCTTCATAGTTACAGTAAAATTATTTAATATATATAAACTTAGACAATTAATTAATCATCAATTTTAAGTAGCCTAGTTGGTATGATTCTTCCCTATAAAATCATACATCGCATGTTCGATTCCCTTATACACTTAACATTTTTTTTTAAAACCTTTACTTAAAAAATTCTTTTCATTATGAGTCTTTAAACCTTTCATATTTTGAAATTAAATCCCTCAAATCATGAAAATTGTTATTAAGTTCTACAATTCTTAAGTTAATTAGAAATTGATCTCTCAAATCATTAAAATTAAATTAATATTAGGTTCCTTAATTCTTAAAAATTTATTTTGAAATTACTCCCTAGAAGCAATAACTAAAGAGATTAATTTAAAAAGATTGCGAGGATTAGAGGATCTAATAACATTGCTATTAACTTGAGGGACTAATTTCAAAATAATTTTGGAATATGGGAATACTATAGCAATTTTAATGATTAATAAGATATATTATATATATATATATATATTATATATATATAATTATATATATATATATATATATATATTATTATATATATATATTATATATTAGAGAAAAATGCGGTTATACTTGGTACAAGGATCCTTGTAGTGATGTGCGACACATCTTGTCCATACATCACACCTTGAAGATGGCGTACTCACCAACTCCAATGGGTGTGATGTATGGACAAGATGTATGTCCCATCACTACCAGGATCCTTGGCCCAAGTATACTCATATTCTATATATATATATATATATATACTATATATATATAATTATATATATATAGTATAATATATATATATATATATATATAATTATATATATATATATTAGTATATATATATATATATATTAGAGATGAGAGAGACGAGAGAGAGAGAGGAGAGCGCAAGGACTCCTTCATCAACTTAAGTTGATGTCACCAAAGTTCCTAGCCACAACATTTATTAAATAAAACACCTTTTTATATAATACACAGGATCCCTAAGCAATATGACGTGGTTTTAAAACTTTGGTGGGACACACTATTCCCTATCACTTAAGTTGACACACATGTTCACCTATATTATATATATGAGAAAAATGAAGAAACTCGGCTACAAGTTGCTTCAAGCAACTTGGTTAGTGATGTGGCCTAATTTTGAATCATTTATATCATTTTATTTCTTTTACTTACATCTACAATAGGAGTTGCGTGAAGGGTGGTTGAGGCTCTATCTTCGGAGGTATGATGTTAGGGTCAAGATTATGGCCACATCCACTAACAAGTTGTTTTAAGCAACTTGGTACCAAGGTTCTCCATATTTCTCTTCTCTCTCTCTCTTCTCTCTCTCTCTTCTCTCTCTATATATATATATATATATA